TATATATATATATTTTCTTTTGAGCTTTGACAGTTTTGTCAAAGCTCAAATACAACACTTTATTAATATAATAAACTTAAACAGAAAATTACTAAAGTATAAAATTGTAAGCCCAATATCACCCAGCTGCAATTAATGTGCCTAGCTACAACTTGTTACACCAATCTACATGTAAGTCAGAGACCTTGTTAGCCTGCTAAAAGCCCATCCCTCCATTCTAACTTTTTTTACTGAGAGCAAAAAAAAATAATGTTCCAACATACTAGAACATACATTTAGAAAAAAAAAGGTTTTATACTTATAAAAACACAAAAAGCAAAAAAAGGAAAATTCTAAGAGGAAAATAAAAAAAAGGATGAAAAAAATGTAAAAAAAGAAAAAAACAAAGAGATAAGCCCAAATAGGCCACAAGAAAAGTATGCTACCTCTAATTGTAGAAATAGCAAAAAAAGGAATCAAACAAAAAGGCTTCCTTCTTAATATCTTCAAAAAAACAAAAACAAGAAAATGCACTATTATAATCTGTACTAGGTAAATGTAAAAATTATATAACAAATACAATATTTGTATATCTCTACTGTAAAGCATTGCTTTAACATTAGTATTTCTTTCTAAACCATATGACCGACTCTAGAATAATTGGTCTGACCTAATCCATATCTTAAGCTAGGTGCTACTACCGTCCATAGGCCCATATCTCAAGCTATCTGCTGCTGCCATTAGGAGAATTTATAGGACCCATTCAATTTAGTAGCACTATATCCATTGAACATGTGGTTGTAATTTACTCAGCTATCTAGATTTGGGATATAAACAATGTCAATCTTTTGGAGGGGTAAACCAAATCCCCACTTTTTATTTAGAAATTTTTAACAAACCAATGAAAGTTGTGGAAGATATTTTTTATAGATAAAGAGTAACTACTTGTAATATTTGTAAGAAGTGTGATGAACAATAAAAGCATTTGTTGTTTCTCTTGTCTTTTCTGTTTGATTTTTAAGAAACTTTGTCAACAGAAATCCTTCTCTTCAGAACACTGTTTCCACTAAAATTTTTTATATAAGGGTACTACTTGCCAGTTATCTTGCACCAAAATGCTTTTGGCTTGCTTGCCAAATATGTAAAGGAGTTGGTAAAGATAGCAGACCAACTTCTACAAAAACCACCTTATAAAAATATAAAGCATCATTATCTCCAACAAAATTTTCTATTTTTCTTTAGGTAGATTATTTGAGACAAGTAATCACTGAAAAGAGTTGTATAATTTAACCCTAAAATTATATATTAAATTTCTGTCATATATTAAATATATAGCTTTAAGCAATTGTACACTTCAATAATAAAATTATTTGTACATTTATATAAGTTTTGAAAAGAAGGTTTATATATATATAACAGATTAGTATTCAGGGGTTCTGTTGTAGTTTGAGATACAGATTGGATTATAGTAGTATTTTAAAAAGTGGCTTGAGATACAAACTTGGTAATAGCAGCACAACAGGTACTAGTTAGATGCAGAAGTTTAATGGTTAGCTCTAATCCCAAGTGTATAGATCAAGCTGTAGCATAGTATTACTAAAGTCTAAGTGAATATATAGTTGAAACATGTATTTTAGTAATAGTTAGTTACTAGCTTCTGAATAGAGGCATTGCAATTTTACAATATATTGTGCTACGATTATATATAGGTGCTTAAATAGTAACTAGGTGAGGTCAGATGTTTGAGAAAAAATTATTTATATGTATTATGGTATCTGTTATTTAGAAATAATTCTTATATGCTATTTGCCAATAGGCTTAGAGTTTATCACTTAGGGCACTAACATTTATTACATAATATCTATTTACTATAAGGGCTACCCCCTTCCCCCACGTAAGATCTATATTATTGGCTAATTTAGAAATCATATAATTTCTTTGTATAATGTAAGATATTAATATAATACATGCTTGACCTCCACCCCCTAAAATATTACGTAATAAATGTCAGAGCCCTTACCAATATGTAATTTGTATAAGCAATACTTTATAATAAAAACCTGGCAAGTTAGTCAAAATTTAAAAAAATATATATATATTGGATATGGTTGGTTAGATTAGGTTTGGTATAGTAAATACAATTTATAATAAGATTCTTGTAACTAATATATTTAAAGGTCAATAAACTTTAGTATTCGAATATTAAAACAAAAAAATAAAAAAAAAACTTTAAAAATATACTAAATTTAATTGATGATCTACCAGTCACCTGAAGAATGATTATAGTAAAATGTAACTCAGATTACTATATAAATTTACTATAGTGCGAATATGGCAATTGCCCAAGATAAACTTTTTTCATACTAAGTTAATCATCTTTCTTGCTTAAGAGACTTTTGTAAAGCTTTTCTTCTTCAGGTGACTGGTGGATCATCAATTAATATACCTTACAAATATTTATTAAAAAAATTCAAAAAACTAATTTATTTATATATTTATATAAAGCATATTTCTATATATCTTTGATTAGAGATATTTAATTTATATAAAACTATATCTAATCATATAACTTTGATTAAGATTAAATTATAATAGAGTTAGAGTAAAAGCAAGTATTATAAATAAAAATTGTCTTCTCAACATTTTTATTAGTGCTTCAAAATAAGTTTAGATAGTTATTTTTTGTATTTTTTATATTTTTTACATTTTTGCTTTATTTGTTGTTTTTGTTTTGCCAGACTAATCTAAAATAATTGTTCTTTATATTATCTTTGTATTACACAAAACAGTTGTTTAATTTATTTGTATTTTAATTGGCTATTAGATCTGAAATACTATATTACTATGAAATAACACATAGGGTAAAATTACAAATTCTAGCCTAAATTAAACTTAATTTGGGCTGAACCTCAAAATAATACTCATAGTTATTATTATTATTTTTTAAATAGTCTTTGCTTTTACTTATTTGAACCACTATATGACTAATATACATGTATATATAATCTTTATAGTATAATGTTCTAATTTAATAAAAATTCACCAAGTACTTTGCCTAGTATAATCTGCCAAAACAACAATTCACCTCTCTCAGAACTCTTAACTTTCTAAGGATTTTGTACTCTAATGATACCCCTTTGGTTAATGGTTGACTGTTGTTTACTATAAACACCCATGGTTATTATTTCATAGTAATATGGTATTATTATTTTATATTTCTGGCCAAAGATATACTATATAGAAATACCCTTATATAAAATACTAATTTAATTTGCCAATTAATAATATATAATAATTAGAGTTGGCATAAACCAGTCAATAGTCAAGCTTGACTAGACCAGTTTGACCAATTTGACTAGTTGGTCAAAGAGTTTAGTATTGGTCAAATTGGTCAAAGATTATTTAAATATATAGTATATATGCATATATATTTATATTGTTATAGGGTAAATTATAGGTTTAATATATTTAAACACAAAAATATAAGATTTTAGGTAATAAGACAACTCACCAGAGGCATAACAATAGTGATTTGACAATAATTTAATTTGTTAAACAATTTATCAAGGTGATTTATTAATTATAATATAAAGGAATTATTAGAATCCTATAGGATAGGATTTTACAAGAGAGAAATTACAGGGTTTTTATAGCTTTAACTACACTAACAAATTCAAGAGGCTTACAATCATGATTAAAATAAAAAAGGCTTTGCTTTGCTTTTGCAATATGAAATATTGCAAACACTTGTACTTTATCTTGATTTTTGGGTTTTTTTTTTCTTCTTTACATGTACTTGTTCTCCAGTTCTCATGTTTGGTTGTTTATCTCTTTCAGACAATAAGCCTCAACTGATAAACCAGTTATTTGCAAGTAATTTCTTTCTTAATCACAGGTTTACTACACCAATTTCGAAGATTTACTTTTTAGCCCATGACAATATATATTTTTTTTGTATATTAAATTTATTTATTTAATAGACTCAACTATTTGACCAATTTGACCAGACTAGTTTGACCAATGAATTTTTGGTCGACCAGTAATTTGATAATAATATATGGGTTATTACTTTAAAAATTTTTAATTTATTGTGTTAATTTTAGTACTACATTGTAAAAATTTAAAAATTAGGTCTATCTTTAAAATTTTATTGATTATAATTAAATAAAGTTAATCTAATATTTAATTGTATATACTATATAACTTTAAATATTTATTACCTTTAGTAAATTTATGTTATTATTATTTTTTTAGACAATATAAATAAAATATAATTAATTTTGTAGCTTATTTTTATTCAATTAAAAAAAAAATACAATAATAATTATTAAATGGAAATATCTGTTTGTAACAGCCTGTTAACGCTTATTTGTAACAGTTTATCAATGTTGGGGTTAGTATTAGAGTTAGAGTTAGGGTTAGTGTTAGTGTTAGGGTTAGTGTTAGGTTAGGTTTAGAGTTAGTATCAAGATTAATACAAAATCGCGAGAGGATCATTTTTCATTAGTAGCGCAAAAGAGATTATCTTATAAAATTTTGAATTATAGGTCAAACTGTTACAAATAAGCATGTAACAGGCTGTTACAAATAGACTTATCCTTTTAAATAATTATTATATAATATATTAATAAAAATTTTTTTATAAGCTACAAAAAAATAGTTAAAAAAAATATATTTAAATATATATTTCTATTTTTAGTATAAGATTGATAATTTGGATAATATAAACCAAAGTGCAATCACCCACGTATACACATACTTTAAACAAACTAACGTTAGATACATTACATCGACAGTTCTATGCAAGAAATCTTACAATGATACTTATAAAAGCTTTATATTCGATATACTATTAAGAGTGATATTTTAGTTAACCGATTCGAGTATTAATTAAAACTCGCAAGACTAATTTTAGATCTATAGTAAATTCCTCTCGCTCAATTATATTTCCAAATTTTTTTACTTTTAGCGCTGCTAGTTCAGGTTAAAAAAATTACCATTTTCCCGAAGGAAAAAAAAAGTTACAGCACCCAGTATTCCCATGTTGTCCCCAACCATAGTACTGACTGGGCCATCAGCGGCTTAACTTCGGAGATCGGACGGGTTCCGGTGCTTTTCACTGTGTATGGCCGTAACTGTTAGGTAGATCAAAATCCAATATTATAAAGAATTATTAACAAGGGTTTAACTAGATGAAAGTATTCTCAAGAGACTATAGTATATAATTATAGGAACTGCTGGCTATCCAGTAATCATTCGAGGCAAAGCTTTGTGGGCCCTGCAAAACTTAAAAAGTCATCTCGAATTAGTTCATTAAATGGCTAAATTCACAATATAGCTCCATATGATACCTTATATTCGTTCATCTCATTAAATGAGCACAATAATTATCGGAACAATAAAAAAAAAAGCGAAAGATTCTTATGCATATATCGTAAAAGTTCATATACAAGACTCGGTCTGTTTCATTCCATCAATTTTTAAGCCCTTTAGTAGACTCGGGGTCTAGTACTCGCCCAGAGGTTACATTATGAAAAGAAGAAATTTAATGTGTGTATTTATAATAGGCATTCTAACTATTTGAAAAAAACGCATTTAATTAATAAAATTCTGTGGTTCGCACCCGGATTTAATTCAAGGTGAGTCTACTATTTTGGGATCTTGTATATGAACTTTTACGTTGCGTACGTCTATAAACGGATATTTCCGAAAAAAATTTTTACGCAATAGAATAATTATAATTAATTCGAAATTAAAAAGTTGATTTATTCAATTTGGAATTGAGAGAGGGCATTTTTATTTCTTTTATACAAAAAATGCAAAAATTACCTTATATTTAAATAGCTTGAATGGAAATGAGAACTTTTTTTTGCATTGAATATTGATATCTGGTGATAATGTTATTAACTTTTTTTTGCTTAAATTTATTAAAATGCTGACCAATAATTGTTTCAATTATATTACGTAAATTGATTCGAATATCATGGCAGTTATATGCCAAGAAAACTTATACGATTAGTATTAATCGAAAGTCAAGCAATAAAATTTCATGCTTTAGTATTATGTAATTATTGAAGCGATAAAGTTACAATAAGCGTCCCAATTACTCTTTGCTAAATTTAATCATAGTGGAAGAAAATATAGAATATAGCGTTACCAACAGTAATACAGTAATAGGGTGCCACACGAAAAATATTATAATTATCGTTATAGTTACATATTTTATTAGCAATCAATATTAAAAAAATTAAAGATTCAACGTATTAAAAAACCAAAAGAATTACCGAGAAATTTTCACAAAATATTTATTAAATAATGAAGAATAAAGTTACGTCTTAAGATTTTCATTAATATATTTTTTTTTGAATATTTCTTATAGATTATTTAAACTTCATTATTAAAATGAAAAAGTTTATATCTTAAGAATAAAGTTGAAATTTTACTAGAACTTTTTGTAAAATCGAACGCAACTTTTTAGAATAGTTTTCACGGAAAGTTAGTTAAAAATTAGATAGTGAAGTGCAATATTAATGTGAATCTTTTAGATTCCTTATAATTGAATAAAATAAGATGGTATTCAATCGATTATCTAATTTCACAATTTCTAATAAAATCTGATCATAGTGAAATTGCTAATATATATAATATAGTTTTGATTAACTACCCCAGTATCGCTAAGGCGAAAAGTTGACACGTGGCTAAAGTATAACTGATAACAAGATACGATACAGTATATAATTATATCGTACACGTTTATATTAAATAACTACCGGATACAAGACCCGGGTCTCTTACATTCCACCAATTTTAAATCCTACAATAGACCCCGGGTCTAGTATGCAGCCGATAGTTCATGTCATTAAGAGGAAAACTTTGAAGAGTATGCATGTTTTGCATTTATAATAGACAATCCAGTTATTTGAAAAAACCCATGTTTGATTAATATAGATCTCATGATACGCATCCAGGTATACTACGTGGTGGGTCTACTATCATGGGGATCTTGTACCCGGCGATTTACGGTATGTAGTTTATTACATTTGTCTAAAATTGCTTATTGATTTTACTTTTTCGTGAACGATAATCTAGAGCTTCTTGTTTCATATGTCATCTTTCATGTTAACGTTTTTGATGGCCAACTTGTTATAAGGCATCATTTCGAAATGTTTTCTCCTTTTTTTTCCTTAATGGGATGCCCTTATGCACTTTTATTATATCCTTTTACAAAATGTTCTCTTTAGCAAAATAAACAATTAAGAATAAAGTAAAAAAAAAACCATATCTATTATAAACATTATTTTCTTGATTTTATATTGCATCATACGTCTTTTTCATTGTTGAGTACATTTTTTTGCGACACTTGATACATGTAAAACTAGCTTAAAAATGTCTCTTACATTAAATGATGAGTTTGAATTCGTTATGAAGTTAGAGACTTTACAGTCAGGCAATCGAGTACAAGTATACAAGAGTTATTTTTATATAATCTAATAACAATAATGATAACATTTATCGTATAATATTTAGATATTGCTATTAGATGTTAATCGATTCAACCTGCTCGCATATTTATGATGATAAGAGTTCGAACAATCCTTAACTATTACATATTTTTGTAAACACTAATATGTAAGAATATATATATTGCTTAGAAAATTAAAACAGTTGCCATAATAAAATTTTTGTTTCTTTTTATCATTAAAAAATACCCAACAACACGATAATGCAGATCTATTATAAAATATCGTTATTACATTTTTAATCACGCGTCCGTTTTTTGGCCTGGCGATACTGGGAAAGATGTTTTGATTAAGGTATAAATGAATATTCAATATATGGATCACTATCTGTTATAATATTTTTAACTAATACGTGTTTCTATTTTTGTAAGCACCAATAAATTTGTATTAATAATTAAAAAAAATTTAAAATTATATTATTAAGAGATTTATTCATTTTCTTCCGTTATCATTATGTATACTCAAGTTTGTGAAATTACACTGTACTGTATATACTATAGACATTTACAAAGGTGAATCATTATACAAAAAAGACTAACCCGATTTATGGGAAATAGCATGCCTTATATTTATAAAGCCATTCCTTTTATTTTATTTACTTTTAAAAATAGCAAAAAAAATAAATTTTTTTTGAGATATTTAGTTTCGAAGATTCCTTTTAATTATTTATTCACTTTAAAATAACAAAAAAATAATTTTTTTTTTGAAATATTTAGGCCATACAAACTTAATAAATCGGTTCTCATAACATAAAACTTTTAAAAGTGACCCGGCAACCCGGCTTTTAATTTTATTTTCAAAAAATTTTATATATAAAAAACATATAAAATTTTTTTAGATTTTTTTTAAAAAACTCACCCGGATAGTAAGTATACTTGAAATTTTTTTTAGAGTTTTGGAAATTTTGACCCGGCCGGATTATGAGAACCGATTTATTAAGTTTGTATGGCCTTAGTTTCGAAAATTTCTTTTATTTATTATTTAGAGTATTGTTATTTCCATCCCCATTTTTGTTAATGCCATCCCAGATATCAAAAAGTGCCCCGGATGGTAGTAAAATCATTATACTCAGACCAGTAGTTTCTAAGATATGTATATCCGAAGTTAGTTAACTTTCATTTACTTTAAAAAAAAACTATCAGTTCGATTTCAATGATTTTACTACATTAGAACCAGAAAGGCCTGATGAACAACTTTTATTAAGATCAAAGGAAGGGTTGTCTTAATAACAATATCTCTTCCAGTTATGTATCTTTCTTAAATGTCAAAAACTTATGGGTTAGCAGTTTGATAGAAGGAAGGAGAGGGTGGATAAATAGGTATAGTATAGTATAGTATATAGTATAGTATAGTATCTGAGCATGAGCCAAAGCTTATTGGATCAATATTGATTCAAGTGGAACAACCTACTCCCGGTGGGGAAATTCGGGAGATATTTGGTTGGGGAAACCTTCCCAACCAATGAGATACACCTCTACACGGTGGTTGGGACAAGTAGGAGAGGTAATTTTCAAAACTAAGTATCTCAATATATATATATTTGCTATTTTAAAGTGAATAAATAATAGAGTGTTGCTATTTCCACCTAGTGTTCCAAATCATTAGTTGAAAAACCAACTAGTTGCCAACTTTCCAACTAATCAATTTGAAAAATTTTTAAACAACTAATTATTCAATTAATATAATTCCAAGATATTCCACTTAGTCGGGCTAATTCATGATAATTTCATGGATTTGATTGGCTAATTATCTGATAATGTCATGTGATATGAATAATCGATTAGTTGGCAACTAATTGATTAGCAAAATTTTTATCAACTAGAAACACTATTTCCACCCCTATTTTTGCTAATGTCACCCCAAATTTTTAAAAAGTGCTCTGGCTCCCTTAAGTAGGGGAAATGCAAAGCTTATATCTAATTAGATGGTTTCATTGATTGATCAACAACACCAATAGCTACCAAAAACAACATAAACCCACCAAAAATAATAACTTAAACCTACCAAAAACAATAACCTAAACCCACCAAAAACCCAACAAAAACAACATAACCCCACCAAAACGATAATCTAAACCACCAAAAACAATAACTTAAATATACCAAACCCCAACAAAAACATAAACTCACCAAAAACATAACCTAACTCCACCTAAAAACAACATAACCCCACCAAAAAACAACTCAAATGGTTCTGCCACAAATCTCAACATCCAAAATCCCATCAGGTTAAAATCCCAAAAATACTAATAATGGCATCATAATTTTAGCATTGTTGGGATTTTAACCTGACAGAATTTTGGTACTTTCAGGTTTTAAATGTCAGTAGAATCAACCCAAACCTATCAACAACAATCTAAACCCACCAAGAACAATCCACACGCACCAATATCATCAACAATAACCAAACCCAGCTAAGCTTTTAATAACCTAAATCTATATATTAACAACTACAGTGGAGTACCATGGTATTATGAACACTTTTTGAAATTTTATATTGAGCTAAATAAATAAGTTTTTTAAAAATTAGTTATTATAATTGCCATATATTAAAACTTAATTTTTTATTAAGTAAATTAAATTTAATTTTTATGTAAAATTTGTTCAGCATAACAAATTATATATAATTCTAAATTTTTAGAAATTTTTAAAAAATTTTAGG